TGTTTCTCTTTTCTTACTGGCCAGTGTGAGTGAGGCAGTAACCAACGATGTTGCTTTACCAATCAGAATAGGAGAGATACAGCTCACGGGGAGAGATTGGATAGTTTCCAGGAAGACTGTGGTACTCCAGAGTTAAAAAGCCGATGGCGAGGCTGTGGAGCAGCTCTTACCTGCTATAGCTACAACTAGGACTACTACTAGTCATTCAGCAATCTGCAATCTTCCCTTGAATTTGCCATCACATAGGAAAAAATAAAAACCTCAACTGTTTCAAATTACACTAGGCTGGAAATTCCTGATTTTCCATGTGTTTCCAGTAAGGTTTGATATTGAGATGATTTCCGGAAAATAGGGGAAAAGGCAGAACTCGGGTAACTCATAAAAGCAAGTAATATGCGCATAATTGTGTAAGGAAAGCTAAAACAACATTTCACAGCTGGTCAACGTAAAACGGACTCGTTGGTTTTACTTCACCAATAGCACCTGTATGTCTTAAATAATGCACATGTACATTACTCACGTGAAGACTTTTAGAGAGTAGAAAATTCTCGTGTATATGAAAAATGAAAATGCAGCTTTTCCAGAAATTTATTTTCTTATAATACTAAGTAAAACTGATTCTGAGGCATATGTCATCCATCACCATGGATAGACTGATCCGTAATATGTCCTAAGCAGATAGCAGGGAAAATGTTCTGAGTTTTATCAGGAATGCAAGAAATGTCCCTGCAAAAAAGAAAAATCTCCACACTGCAGGTCCCAAGAAAATTTTTCTTTTGCAAGGGCAGGGTGGGGGTGGTAAAACCCCCTCTCCTATTACCTCAGCTGTGATCAGGACTTTCTACCCACCAGTCAGCGTGGTTAGTGTACAAGGGAAACTCAGTCGGGGTGAGTGTGTGAGTACATGCATGCTGATATGCCTTGTGTGTAAGACTGCGCATGTGCACTAACGTGTCAAGATGCTTGTGAGCCCTGGCTGGCATAGCTCAGTGGATTGAGCGCGGGCTGCAAACCAAAGCATCGCAGGTTCGAATCCCAGTCAGGGAACATACCTGGGTTGCAGGCCACAGCCCCCAGCAATCACACCTTGATGTTTCTTTCTTTCTTTCTTTCTTTCTTTCTTTCTCTCTCTCTCTCTCTCTCTCTCTCTCTCTTTCTTTCTTTCTTTCTTTCTTTCTTTCTTTCTTCCTTCCTTCCTTCCTTCCTTCCTTCCTTCCTTTCTTTCTCTATCTATCTCTATCTCTATCTCTATCTCTATCTCTATCTCTATCTCTCTTTCTCCCTTCCTCCCCTCTCTAAAAATAAATAAATAAAAAAAATCTTAAAAGACCACTGTGGAACATAGGAGGAGACGGAGAGACAGGTGAAGGGCTGGAAGAGGAGAGCGGGACTGGTCAGGCATCATTTTATCCTCTGAAAATTTAGGATTTATATCAAAGCTAGCATAGTTAATCCATTCCTCTCCCTATTCCCAAAGTTTTATGTTGGGTTTTGTTTTGTGGTAAGAACATTTAACATGAAATCTACCCTCAGGAGTGTTCGAAGTGTACAATATAGTGTTGTTAACTGCGGGCATGATGTCATACAGAAGACCTCTGTAAGTTATTCTTCGGGCAAGACTGAAACGTTACAGCTATTAAATGACAACTCCCCACTTCCCTGCCCCTCGCCCCTGGCAATAATCATTCTATTCTCTGCTTCGGTGAGTTTGACTATTTTATGTGAGCTGACGTGATGAACCTAAAAGACATTATGCTTTGCGAAATAAAGCCAGTCACAAAAAGAACAAATACTGCATATTGCATTTATCCAAGGCACCTAAAATTACTTTTGGTTTTAAAGAAAGTCTTTGGATAGTTAGAATTTGCAAAGCTAAGTGACACTGCAAGAAAAGGCTGGCCCTCAGGCAGCATGCATGGCTCAAGTCTTAGAGGCGTGTTCGACTCCCAGCACCCGCCATCCCGCCACGGAGGAAGACGAGGTTAAGGGAGCTGGAAATACTGCAAGGCCAAGGGTAAAGATCCTGATGTGGGAAAGAAACACTACTACAGAGTTGAGAGCCTTCGATTCTCCTCCATGGGACGTAAGAAGCGCGTGTTTGTTTGAAGGAAAGTATTATACTGTCAGTCACTGCCTCATTCTTGGCGTTCAAATCATCTGTGGGGGAGGGGAAGGAACTGACACTTTGGCAAATGGAAATTTGGGGAAATACAACTGCAAGAATGCACCGACCCTATGGAGTGACTCTCTGGTGGAAATACACATTTTGGAGAACCTGTAGGAGCTATTCTCTTGCTTTTTTCCCTCCTGTACTTGCATTTTCCAGCGTGCACTCCAAGTATCTCTTGGTGCTGTCGGCTCCATCTCTGAGCTCCTTTGAACATCAATCATGGCTTACTCGTCTTTACGTGCCTTCAGAGGACCTCACAGAGCACTTTGCCATGGTCCCTGGACGGGTATTTGTTAAACTGGATAGATTTTAAAAGGTGTTGTAGATTGAATACCAATCAAGGGAGTAAGGGATTTCAGTTTTTCAGTTTCAGGAGAGCTGGCCACTGGCGGACGTTTTCACCACGGGCAAGTCGCTTTGGTCTCTGTTCTCAGTTTTTCACGAGCAGGGAGAGGGAGTTGCCTTAAGTGACCTTCGAGATACCTTCCAACTATAATGGTCTGCAGTAAAACTCTCTTCCTTTTGGAAAACGGAAAATGTAAAATTATATATCAGATGTGATCATACGCTCTATAAATGCAGTGGAAATTTCTCATTAAATATTCCCAAATAAAACTGCTACTTGGAATAATGAAATAATAAAGTAGCAGCCTGTTCATCTAAACATTATTGCTATTATATTTTATCTTTCTACTGTAAAAAAATTAAATAAAAACTACTTTCATTCAGTGCAAATTTCTTCCTTGGACTGACAGGCATGATTTTTTTGGAAAATAGCAGTTCATCCTAATCCACTAGGGTAGTATTTTTAAAGTATCACCAAATATACTTTATAAAGTATCCAAATTACTTTCACAGAAATAGAAGTTGTATCCAAGTAGAGATTTTCTGAATATGTAAAAATGTACTCATATGTTTAAATAGTATCAAGTCCGTTCCTTGTGAATATATGATTCTAATAAATATTTAGTATTTGATATTCACATTTGGAGTTCTGTTTCTCTCCTTTTCTTCAATGTATTTCTAAACATTTAAATAATTTATCTGAGTATAAATGTCCTTATTTAATTAAACTTAGAGTTAAGCATAAATTTCAGAGATATGATTCATGTGAGAAATACAGCATTATAGAAAGAAGAGAAAAAAAATTCACTAAGAATATTCAGTTGAAATTTCTTTCCATGCTAAATGAGAAATCTCTGGTCTGTGAATACAAATAATTGTAATCAATAAATTTAAAGTACTGTCCTGCCTTGGCTGGCATAGCTCAGTGGATTGAGCGCAGGCTGCAAACCAAAGTGTCGCAGGTTCGATTCCCAGTCAGGGTACATGCCTGGGTTGTAGGCCATGACCCCCAGCAACCGCACATTGATGTTTCTCTCTCTCTCTCTCTCTATTTGTCCCTCCCATCCCTCTCTAAAAATAAGTAAAAATCTTTTGAAAAAAAAATAAAGTACTGTCCTCTAAAATGCCTATGAATGTGATGTTGAGATTAACGATGATGAAATGGTTAAAATTACTGAATCAAAATTGTTTTCGAGATGGTGTGCAGTGCCAAATATTGGGTTATTTTTCATTGAAACTGTTAGAGGAAAAAAAATGCTTTGTGTAGACACAAAGACCACAACACTTCAAAGCTATTGGGAAGCAGAAGACTGCTGGGACCTGGGCTCTCATTTTCTAGCCTGATCCTGAACATCTTCGGTTCTTCGAAATATTCAGCTGGTAGGAGTGAGGGTGGGCAACTAACTGACCTCCGAGAGTCTGAGGGGTTGGGGAATTAAAAGGCCTTCAGCAGCAGCAGCTTCCTCCCAAGCCTGGAAGTACTTCAGAATCCACTAGGGGCTGTTGGGTGGCCCAGGACCCCAGTCACCACGTCAGTTATAAACGTGAACTAAATCTCAGGATGCGTTTCACTCCCACGCCTCCCCAGCGACTCCAGAGGGTGCACCAGTCATAGGCAAAGGGAATCACTGCTGGGCAATTCTGGGATTTCTGCCTGGGGTTCATGATCCCTTTGAGGACTTCAAATCCATCCAAGACCCTCCTGCTCTCCCTGGAAAGGGAATCAGATCTCTTAGCAAGGGTCTGGGGAAAGCACCAGCAGCTGGGGGTCCACTGAGGCCTCCACATCCCTGCAAGTTAAACAAACAGAAGGACAGGTTCATTATTACACCAGATTCTAACTGTACCTGATTCGTTTTTTCACTGATACATGCACTAATTTGCGTAAAGAATAATGAGGGAGCAGGGTGTTCCTACCCCAACAGCAAACGCCCCGTCCCTGACCAGGTAATGCGTACAAAGTCATCAGGTTTTCTTTCTGGTTAAATAAAGTTGTTGACTCGAACAACGACAGAGGAGAAAACAAGGCACAGCGACACTGTCATTCAAATAAGCACGAACCTGCACCATCCTGTCTCTCACCCCAAATCTTGTTCTCCTAAAAGGACATTCTGAGAATGATAGCAGGTCCCGGCCTGGGGCGATAAGTGGTTGTTTTAAGCAAGAGAAATACAAATACCAGTATCCATCATTTATTTAATCGTCACTTGGGCCGAAGGAGGAAAATTGGGGACACAGATTTGTAGTATCTTTTTTTAAAATGAGCATAATTCCTTTCAAGAGTTAACTCCTTCAGGCCCAACCTTCTTAAAGCAAAGGAAGTTCCAGGCGTCCGGGGTTAAGTGACAAATTGTGGGCGCTGATGCAAAGCCCTATTGAGGAGGGACGGGGCGCGGGCGGGGGCGCTGCGGCTCACACACACAAAGACGCGGAGTTCCCAGGCCGCGGGCGGCTCAGCTGGGGGCACCACCGTGGTCTGGGCGCAGCGACGCGCCAGGAAGCGCCCGCAGCACTCTGGCTGCCCGGCCCCTCTGCTGGTGGCTGGGAGAAGTTAGTCACCGGGAGCCCTAACCCGGCGAGCGCTGGAGCGCGCAAACCCGGGACTGGGGAGGGAAGAAACTCGGTACCGGGACCGCTGGGAGGAGGCGAGAGGAGCGCGGGACCTAGAAACGCCAGGGAAGCCGAAAGTGCTTCGCTGGTGCATGGAGTTGCAAGGTCTACGACGCCGGAGCGCACGGGCGTGGAGAGGGGAAAAAGTTGCGGCAGGAACTTCCTACCGAGGGAAAGAAAAGCAGGAGAGAAGGAGGCAGGGAAAGACTTGAAATGTCTCAGTAACTTTAAAAACACACCAAACACCCCTTCAGAAGATGAGGTAAGCCGACGTTAGCCAACCCCGATTCGTTGTGAAATATCAAACAAATCCGGAGCGCCTGTGGCTTTAAATAAGGCCAAGGAAATCTTCTGTTTTTCTTACCCAAATACTTTTCCCCCCTCGTCCTTGCTCCCTCCCTCGTCCCTCCTTCCACCTCGCTGGGTCCTTTCCTCTTTCCTAGTCTCCCTTTCCTCGATCACCCCCCCCCTCCTCGCCCGCCCTCCCCCATCTGATTAGGCGCGGACTCCGGAGGGTGGGAGTGGTGGGGGAAGCTCTCCCTTTAAGAGGCAGCTTGCAGTGACGAATTGTTGAAATTGCCATTGCAGGATGGCATGCCGCTATAAATTCATTGTTCCACCTCCTCGCATCTTCACAGCGCTCGCGCTGCTCTCCACGCTCGCAGCGGCAGACTGGGGATGACGGCGGGCAGGACGACACCGCATCCGAAGGGACACGGACGCGCCGCTTCACTGGCTCGCCGCAGGCCGCCCCTTGCATTTTTTTGGTTTTAATTTTTAGGGCTTTTCTCTCCCTCTCTTTTTTCTCCTCTTCCTGGTTGCATTAGAGTCAAGGACACCCACAAAATAAAAAGAAAGTGGGCTCCGGAGCTTGGAATCCCCGCTGCCAAAGGGTCCGGGGCAGCGAGGGGGCGGAAGACAGAGCGCACCAGTTGCCCGCCGGGTGCGCGGCACCTTCCTTACGCCCCTTGGTGCAGCGATCGTGGCTGCATTTGGGAAGGACTTAGTGTTTTTTTTCCCCCTTTTTCTCGTATTTGCTGAATCTCTCCAATCCGGCTTTTCTCTTTTTAATTTTTTCCCCTCTTTCCGGAGCACGAATCCAAACATTTTCCAAACCAACAAAGAAAAGTTCGCACGCTGGCACCGTGGCCTGGACAGGCTGGCGTTGCAGCTGGGTCCCCCTCCCTCCGACTCTTGACTCAACTTGCAAGCAAGTGTGTGTGTGTGTGTGTGTGTGTGTGTGTGTGTGTGTGTGTGCCCCTACCTCCCGCCCCGGTAACTTCCATAGCGAATAACAAATACCCATAAAGTCCCCGCCGCGCAGCCCCTCCCCGCGGGCAGCGCACTATGCTGCTCGGGTGGGCGTCCCTGCTGCTGTGCGCGCTCCGCCTGCCCCTGTTCGCGGCCGGCCCCGCCGCGGCACCTGCCCAGGATAAAGCCCGGCAGCCCCCGGCTGCTGCAGCGGCCGCCCAGCCCCGCCGGCTGCAAGGGGAGGAGGCGCAGGAGCGGGCCGAGCCTCCCGGCCACCCGCACCCCCTGGCGCCGCAGCGCCAGAGCAGCGGGCTCGTGCAGAACATCGACCAGATCTACTCCGGTGGCGGCAAGGTGGGCTACCTGGTCTACGCGGGCGGCCGGAGGTTCCTCCTGGACCTGGAGAGAGATGGTTCGGTGGGCACCGCTGGCTTTGTGCCCGCAGGAGGCGGGCCGAACGCGACCCGGCGCCACCGGGGCCACTGCTTCTACCGCGGCACGGTGGACGGCAGCCCTAGATCCCTGGCTGTCTTTGACCTCTGCGGCGGTCTGGACGGCTTCTTCGCTGTGAAGCACGCGCGCTACACCCTGAAGCCAATGCTGCGCCGGTTCCGGGCTGAGGCTGAGGCTGGGCGCGTGTACGGGGATGGATCCGCGAGGATCCTGCACGCCTACACCCGCGAGGGATTCAGCTTTGAGGCCCTGCCACCGCGCACCAGCTGCGAGACCCCCGCGTCCCCACCAGGGCCCCGCGAGCGCCACCCGCGACATGGCAACGCTGACCGACGCTGGACACTGGCTCCGCAGTTCCTGGACCAGTCGACTCCCTCCTCCGAAGGGGGCCAGGGACCACAGACCTGGTGGCGGCGGCGGCGCCGCTCCATCTCCCGGGCCCGCCAGGTGGAGCTGCTCCTGGTGGCTGACACGTCCATGGTGCAGATGTATGGCCGGGGCCTGCAGCATTACTTGCTGACCCTGGCCTCCATCGCCAACCGCTTGTACAGCCACGCCAGCATCGAGAATCACATACGCCTGGTCGTGGTGAAGGTGGTGGTGCTGGGCGACAAGGACAAGAGCCTGGAGGTGAGCAAGAACGCGGCCACCACGCTCAAGAACTTTTGCAAGTGGCAGCACCAGCACAACCAGCTTGGGGATGACCATGAGGAGCACTATGATGCGGCCATCCTGTTTACTCGCGAGGTAGGTCCAGCCGGGGACGGGTGGCGCAAACACTGACGGAGGTAGGTCAGGGGGACAGCTTTACTGACCGCCTCGTTTCTCCCACAAAACCACCTGCCACTTTGGATGGGCTTAACTGCTTCTTGAAGGAAACCCAGTTAGCCTCCAGCTCTGCTCCCCTGCTGAGGATAACCCCAGAAGCCAACTCTTGTCTTAAAGAACCAGACCTGGTTAGACAATCAATCAATCAATCAGTAAACCAGGCAGGGTGTCCTTGGTGGAGATACGGTGTCACAGATGCATATGACAAGAGGGGACTAAAATGCTTGGGGGACATGTAGACAGCTAAGTGGGAAAAGGGAAAAGCATGTTTGTCTTTGAAATCAGGGACCTGCTTCTTCCCAGTGAACCCCAAACTAGAACTTGGTCCAGCCTAATGGAATGGGCTGGATGGTTCATCCACGGCGGTCACTTCTATCCATGACCCTCCTTTGTAAGGTCCATATACAATCTTACTGAAACCTCTTCCACGTTCCATTGAGGGCAGTGCTCACCAAGGAGGGACTCTTTTCCATCTGGTTTCCTCACAAAGTTTGTGCATGTCCACCCTGGTGGAATTTCGTCCCTGGGAAGGAAAGGATGCAGGAGGGTGAGGAGGATACAGAAACCCAATCCTGTGAGGTTCCTTGGCAACGCTTTTGCACTGCCTGCTCCAGGGAAGGGTCACTTCCAGCTTACATTTTTGGGGGGTTTTGGATGATGTTTCTGAAGCCCCAGAGTGGAAAGATCTGGGCAAAGAGTCAAGACATGGGGAAGCATGTTTTCCCAGGATTTCCTCTTTTAAGGAAGATGGTGACAGGAAGGAAAAGAGATCTTTACAGGCCCAGAGGTTCTGGGAAGCACACAGTCTCTATTTGCACAGTTGTTAGACCACCATGGAGGTGTGACCTGTGGGTGCAAAGCTGGGGCGGGGTTTTGAGCCAGGGAGCTCTGCACCTGTTTTCCTAGCTCTGCTCTGATTGGCAGTGAAGCCTCTCGGATGACTGGTGAGAATCACCTGCTAAAGCTCCTTCTTGAAGTGCTTGAGATGCAGGATAGATGAAGGATCAGGAACTTTGAAATACCATGCAAAATTATGGGATGAAATGGTGCGACCAGAGCTAGGATAGGAAATGCGATGATGGCTTGCAGGGGGTTTTAGAATCGCAGAACTCCACCACCAAATTCTTGTGTTTTGTTGTTTGTTTGTTTTTTACGAAGGCACCCCCAGTATGAAGGGAAAGTGTTGATAAACTTGGGGTGGAGAAACACACGTGGTTTATGGGGTAGACATAAATGTAAACCACATGGAAACGAGAACGGCAGGGGGCAGTAGCTGAGGGACAGCCCGGCAAGGACACCGTGCTATGCACAATGGAAAATCCTTCTCGTGGAAGTGATCTCCTGGGAACCGTCCTGCAATTTCTCTGCACAGCATTCATCTTTGAAGCGGAAGAACATTCGCTGTGTAGCCTTCAGTATGAAGTTCTCCTGTGAAACTATTTCTTTCTTGTTTAGCTTCCAAGTTCCTTTTTTTTTTTCTTTGTGAGCCACTTTCCATGTCTGGATTTCTTGCTTTGCTCCACCACAAGGCGCTGCCAAGAAGGACGCTTCAGAGAGTTTATGGAAGGAAGTCCTCTAAAGACAGAGGAAAAAAATACTTTTGTAGGCAAGCTGTTCCAAAGAGTAAGTCATTTTAATGCTTGGCTTTCATTTTTTTTTAATACAAATGCACATTCTGTAATTTTCTAAATAAAAAATTAATAGACAACCTCATTACTTCTTACCACCTGCCCTACAACTTTCCTAATTGCTTCCCCGAAAAAGGGAGAACTGGTCAGTGATACTAAATGACCTGTCTGTTGCTTTTCCTGGATTTGTTTTCAGTTTGGGTAGCTAGCATTTCCTATTTTCCAAGCTCTGAAACCTATCAGTAAACTTTCAGTAGACAAAAGCAAGGAAGAAATAAATCAGCAGTTGATGTTAATTTTAGTAAGTGTTATAATAACGTGTATTTCACAAACTAGGCTATGCATGGGGTCTCCCTGGCCTCCTCACCAAGCAGATGCATACTTTCAGTAAAGCAGTTGCCATTTAGTTTGTGGCTGGCCTTCTGGTGTATACATTGAACCCCATGAGAACCAAATATTCGAAAAGCATGTGTGTTATGAATGCCTGCATTTAATTTAAAAGAGTGCAATTAATTAGGGAACTGAAAAAATATGATAAGACCCTTATGCAACTGGAAAGTAGTTCAGAAATGTAAAGTTAATCTCCACCTAATGCTTCAGAATGTGGAAAACACCCGCTAGACTAGAGGAGAAGTGATCTCAGCTCTTCTGTCCCATGGAAATCAGATATCTCAAGACCTAAAGAAAAATGTTCATGGCTATTATTTTTTCAATGAGAAATACCCAGAGTTGGCACCAGGATCCTACTTTTACAACTCTGTTTTGATGTCAGAAGTCCGTTGCTTAGCAGCCAGACGCCAAGCCACGAAATCCATGTTTTGCTGGGCTCTGAGCTCCGTTCAAATTGTGTGTCCAGATGTCTTCTCCTAAATTACTTGTTTTCCAGGCACGAAGCGAATGTGTGAGGATATGTTTTCCACCCCTGTTTACTAGCGGAGGCCACCTTGAGTGTTGTGTCTGAGAGTCAGCAGAACAGTGCTAGTAATTCATTTATCAAAGGAACACGCTTCATTGTCAGGACCGGACCCCGGCACTTAGTACTGTTCTAATTAGAGAAACGTTTGCACCAGTCAGTTTTCTGGCATAAGAACCATTTTTTTTTTCATTCTGGAATGGCACTTACGCTGGAATTCACAGCACTTTTGCCACCAAACAGCAGAAATCCAGTCCCCCCAGGAAGGACTTCATGGTGACTTCCAGAATTGTTTGCTTGCTCCTAGCTTCTTCTTTTAATGTAGCTTCCCTAAAGACAGACTTTTAAACCCATTTTGGAGACCATGAGCTCTACCTGAGAAGCAAAAGCCTTGCTAACAAAGTCGACAATGTTTAACGTCCCCTAACTGGTACAACACCAATGAAAGCTTCACTCGTTCGTGGATGGAAAGCATTGGATTGAAACGGAACCAGCTGCGAGACTAGGCAATATAAAAGGTTCATTCACTTTCACTAATTATCATGGGCCAGTTAATGAGCAACTGTCTCTCAGCTAACACTTCCCTTTATAGTCCTGCCTTACAGTGCTGTGGTAGGGACTGCACAGGTAGCATTTCTACATTAATTACCACCTGGGTTCTTGTTAGGTTCAGACAGTAGGGGGCCCTAGAGGGAGACTAGAAGCTTGGAGAAGGCAGAAAGAAGGATGGGCTTTTTCTTATTTGCTCCCTGACTGGATTGATGAAATCAATCTCATATTTGAGTTTGAATCCCATTGAAACCCAAAAGTGAACCCTTAGCAAGGATTTATAGCCTATAGGTCAACCCCAGTCGATAAAAGGCAAAATAACTAGGAAATGGGAAGACCGGGACAGATTAAGCAGCTCTGGTTGACATTTAGGAAATGATTGATGAGTTGAAAGTTGCTAAGAAAGTAGCTCTTGAGAGTGCTCACCACGTGGAAAAATCTGTAACTATGCCTGGTGACGGATGTTAACTAGACTTGCTGTGTTAATCATTTCATGATATGTACATATATCAAACCATTATGTTGCACACTTGAAACGAATATAATGTTATATGTCAATTACATAACAATTAAAAAGTAAATTGTGAAGAATATTCCGAAAAACCTAAAATCTGTTAGAGGCAATGTAGCACAATGCACAGAATCCCTTTCCTTATTGTCTCATGCAGTAAATATGAGCCAATAATGCTTTGTGTGGGCGAGACACTCTTTTGGGGTCTGGAGGTGGCGAGATTGAAAATACCAGTCCCTCCCACCAGGGCCTATCCCGCGGAGTAGAAGCAGATACACAGATAGGTCACTCTAATGTTGGGAAAACTAACAAACGCTACAACTCAGCTATAAGCAAAGCCTGCGAAAGGAGAAGGCGTCACTGCAAATGTAGGATGGACTTGACCCTTGCAGGATGGTTAGGTTTCATTTGGAATCGGAGAGTTTTAGGTGAGCACTTTTTACATACTATCCATAATCATAAACAATTTTACAATCAATCCTTTCAACAACCTACAACCTTAGTAGCATTGCTGTCATTTGATAGGTAAGGACATTCATGCAAAGGGAAACAGAGCTCATCTTTTCAGAGTTACAGCTGATGCATGACAGAGAGAGAAAGTAGTCTGGTCTACACCTAGTGGTCTCTCAACTAAAAATATTATCATTGATTTACTCAGATATTTAATATGTTCCTAAGGGGCAGAGAGGGACTCAGAGGTTTAAAAAGTGACCCCTTTCCTAATAATCCATTTGAGGAACAACAGACAAGGAAATGGGTCATTGTTGTACAGCATGATGACTTTTCCAAAAGACGTGGTTGTTAGAAATCATGCAAGTACATAAGAAGGTCACCCAACCCATATGATTCAATTTGGAAGAAAAGATAGGCGTTAGCCAGACTCATAAGGAGCAGACAGGCAGTGCAGATACCCAGACTATCATGTGCCATGGCCTAGAGGCAGCATGGCGCTCCTGCGAAAGGGAGGGGTTTGGGTGTGATGAGACAGACACTATCAGAGTGGAAGGGTGGGAGATGAATCTAGAGAAGGCAATGCCAGCCAAATTATAGAAGAAATTGTATGTCACGTGTATTAGTCTGCTTGGGCTGCCATAACAAAATAGTATAGATTGAATGGCTTAAACAACAGAAGTATATTTTCTCCCAGTTATGGTTGTTGGGAATCTCAAGTCAGGTTTCCAGTCTGCTAGAGAGAATTTTCTTCCTGGCTGGTGGACTGCTGTCTTCTCGCTGTGTGTTCAAAGCCCTTGGGCGGCGCTCCTCCGGGGACTCAGGGGTGAGGGTGGGGAGTGGCTGGAGACAGAAAGAAGGAGAGAGA